GCAAAATGTATAATTCTAAATTTTATTTGTTGATTGTTAAATGCTTAATGTTGAATGCTAAAGGTTAAAGCACAGACAAACAGACATAACTCTTCGAAGAAAATTCTTCAAAAAATATCGTCAAGCGTATTTTGCATGCGCACTAGCACAATCTATCATCCACATTCCCAAGCAATGTTATGCAACCGGAGCATCCCTCGTGCATGCAATTTTTTCACTAGTTGCTTTTCCCTCGTTCTGTAAACGCGTCAGCTGTGTTGAATAAAATCAAAACAGATGGAAGTCAGTGATGTCGGTTCTACTAAATTTTCCATAGATCTATAGAATTTATTGAATTCAGCAGAAATAAGGATCCGTAGGAAAAATTCACAGAAGCTAAGACTTTTTTTAGGGATTTGTTGTTTTTTGTTTATTGTGCTTTTTCTTTTACTGGAAACAAGTTTTTAAATGAGCTAATGCATCACTAATTAGTGCCCTTTCTACCACCGCTCACTAGTTTAATGTGTGTACAGAAAAAAACATAATGTGTATCAATCAATGAAATTTATGGTGAATTATTGAACATGAAAAACTGGTAACAATGATTTGTTCTCGAATTCTGTGTTAATCGTACAGCGTAATATTTGGAACGAAGTGACTAATGTGCAGCACGTTCGATGTAATATTCAACAACTTTTTTCTGTGTTCGTCAAATGTGGTATGTGTCCAATGAGGTACAGAGAGAGGTGGCGCAGATCGTGAAATAGGGTTGTATTAGTAAACCAAAAAATCAACGTAAACGCAAGTAGTGACGTCACTACTTGCGTGTACTTGCCTGTATCGTACAGTGGTTGTGTGAGTGATTCCCTAATAAAAAATAACCATAAACGAACGATAACCCAAATCATTGAACTATTCCACAAATGGTTTGGATGATACCCAGAACACGTCGTTAAGCAAATTAACCATACAATTTTTATTAGGGTTGCTTCACCTCGGTAATCCAGCTCATTGGTATGTGTCTCCAGTGGGATACCTTGACCACTTATCATTTTCAAGAGCTGACATCTACTACCAAGACGTAAAAAAGAACTGGCATCACTGATAAGTTCGAAATTTGGTGGCTTCCTCAATGCTTCAGTGGCGCCACCATGACAAATGCAAGCGCATTCCCAACTAAAACATTATTTGCATGTAACACTTTAAATGCTTGATGTTAAATATTAAATGCTAAATGTAAAATTTGAAATTTGAAATGTTGAATGATAAATGGTTAATTGGTTTATTTTAAATGCAAAATGTTAAATATGAAATGCTAAATGTTAAATTTTAATTGCTAATGATAAATGATTACTGTTAGATGTTAAATGCTGAATATGTATGTCAAATGCAACATATTGAAAATTAAATGTTTCATGTTAGTACTAACTTTTAGCACTCAATTTTGAGTAGCCCTAGTTTTGACAGAATTGCAGTAGATTCTACTGAAAATTGGGTAGTTTAGAATTAGCGTGAAGACCAGTTATTTTCTGAGTACTGTGAACTCAGCCGATTTTATTTTTCAAGTGAGAAAACATCTTGAAAATCTTCCGAAGTTTCAAATTGTTTTACTGTCATGCTGTCAAATGAACTCTTGGCTCCTCCTCCTCTGCTTCAGAAATAACATATACGATGGGAGTGCACCTGCCCACAAAGCTCACATGACTCTTATAAAATTTGATTACATTTTTGTTTCAGCAACCCAGTTTTAGCATTATTAATATCAAATAAAAACACTTTTTCGAACATCACGCTCGATTATTTACATTATCCGCCAACTATGGTTGATGTTTCAATAGTTTCATAATTATAATTCTTAATTTGTTTTCAGTAGGTGGCAACACTTTTACTTGTGGTTCAAACAGTAACAACCTACGTGACTTCTGAGCTCTTTTCTGGATCAACAATAGAGAAGGGCCCATCAGCATTTGTAAACAAACCGTTTCAAAGCTCTTTACATACAATGCGAAGGCCACCCACGCAAACCAACACCATCATCGGGTAGGGAACACAGATCTACACGATGAGGGTGTTGGTTTGTGTGGGCGGCCTTCGATTTGTGAGGAATGGGCTTTGGAACGGTTTATTTACAAATGCTGATGGGCCCTTTTCTATTGTTGATCCAGTTTTGAATGTTTGGCTCCCGTTTGACAGTTTGACTCGGCTCTCAGATGACAATCATTTTGAGTTAGTTCGCAGTACTCAGGTTATTTTGATTGACAACACTGCGAGCTGCGCTTTCAAAAACGCGTTGAGTACACTGTACCAAACCATCGTCCTCTGTTCGAATGAAACCTCAGACCATTCATATCGAAACATCGAAATCGCCTTTTCGTATGATAGCTACAACCGGATGATGGTTGTTTTGAAATCGGATGATTTTCCTCTTGAATATAGGATGAATATTGTTATGAAAAGGGATAGGGCCTACAGTTGGAATACGTAATGCTCTCTGCAGAATGGTAGTCATCTTAAATTGAAATTAATTTGGTACTGGCTCTGCCTCTTAGCACAAATCATTCAAAACGATGATGTAAATAATTCTATCGAACTTCATCTCTAGATAAACATTTCAAAAGATCCTATCTGCATTGATCGATTCTCTTCATCGACTTTCTCTTTCGTCAATAACTCAGCTGTAAAACCTTTCCCTGTTGTATTTGACGTTTTGGACGCTAGATAAGAAACTCCTTCATCAAACTATGTGGTAGAATTAGCGCCAAATCTGTTTGCATACCAGTGGTTATGAAAAGAGAAAGTCGATGAAGAGAATCGATCAAAGCAGATAGGACCATTTGAAATGTTCATCGAGATTTGTTGCTTTGAGCAGACAAACGAGGTGGAAGCATAGCCATCGCTATCAGAGGTGGTACGAGCATTTTTAAAACGAGGAAACTGTAAATTGTCTATTTCGTGGTGGAGGAAGTTTCCTCTACCAACCAATAAGGAATTTTTTGTATCCATGATGAATAGCTGTTCATGGCAATTCAATATGGAAATGTAAACAATCGAATTAATAATCTAATTTAAAGCATTTGCAAATCATCATATCCTTAAATTGTTGTCCTCTGAGCCCTGTATGTTTTACAGCCAATTTTCAAATAAATATCATCCTTTATTTGAAGGAAGTCATATGTATAAATGCTCATGAGTTGATGAAGAATTCAACCATAAAGAAATCATTCGACATTCGACAGCATATTGTTAAACGGCTCGAGCAATACAATAATCAGTTGAACTATTGCGGATGTTTTTGTTCAGTGTATGTCATAGCACGCATCTCTCGACGCTTTATTGAAACTCAGTAAACGCGAACAAGACGCGTTACTCAACGCTCCGCGTTACTATGTCATCGGCCTTAGTCTAACTTCAAGCAAGTTTCTTTAAACTTTCATAAGAAGTTTCTATTCAATTGTTTTTATTAATCCAAAAGTTTTGTCGAGTTCCGGTTTTATTCCGACAACTCTGCGCTCTTCGTGGTTTTGACTCCTCTATGAAATTTCTTGTCACTTTCACCTTAAAGTCAATCTAAAATTATTTCTCGGGATATTGAAACAGTTGCTGGGGAATCGGGAACGTGAATTTTGGTAAATTTACCGGGATGCCCCGCGTAGGAAACACTACATCCGAACATGTTCCAAGTGTCCCCGGGGGAAGTGACCTGTTTCTGAGATGGGCTCATCATGCGACACTTATAACCAAGTTCAATGTTAGTCATATAAATGTGCTCATGATTGTATTTTTTTTCTTTGATTTGTTTTCTGTCGAGATTGTTTTCCGTGCTAAGCACCAATGCTACCGACGCCAGGGAGGCAGGCACCTGGACCATAGAGGTAACTCTAAGACTAGTAGGTCCCGATGAAACATGCTCAACTTTTTGGCTCAGCTCTGGTACTATCTTTGGTCCCAAGCTAATCGATTCACCCCTCGAAACATAAGAAAATCAACTAACCCCTTATTTTATCTGTCAAACTTTCATAGCGAATCAAAACAAACATAGTGTAGTACTAGAATTTCGATTAGAATGGGGTACGTAATCGATTTGCTTGGGACCAATAGGCTAGTCAAGTAGTGAGCCAATTTAAAATGGATAGTTTCGTATTGATTGTTGCCTGGACCCTACCCTATCGACCCATCAATTCATGAACCGGAGACCAACGGCTTTATTTCCCTTCCAAAGGAAGGCGTGATCAGAGATATTATGCCTCCGAACATCTCGGCGGCGCCGACTGGGATTGAACCCAGGCCAGCTGGGCTGAGAGGCAATCACGCTTACCACTACACCACCGGTGCCGCTTCAAGATTTGTATTGGCCCCCGAGGAAGTGACCAGTTGTGAGGCAGAATCATACGGTGGAAAACGCCTTGTTATTTTCAAGGATTTGAATTCGATGCATAACAATTAGCACCGAGTTCGACATATAAATTTCTCGAAGACATCATTACTCTATTCCTTGAATCCAAAGAGATGCTACGTGAACTCCAACCGAAATTGGCTTAGGGACCATCCATAATTGACGTAGCATATGTTTCACCAATTTTGGACCTCCCTTCCAGATATTAGCATATGCTGCTATACTTGGCCGGTTACATCTTTATAAATACCCTCTCCCCCTCAAATGCCGCGTCATTTGTGCATGTTATCTTATCGCACAATCGGTTTATTTCGAGATCAATGTTATTAAAACAATCATAACATACAAATAGTAGGGGAAATGGCTCTAATGTTGGCCTATGGATCTTAATTGGGCCCATCGCTAAAAATCTGCCATTTATCAATTTTATCCAGATGAACGCGTCATTGGGACTGTACTAATGTATATTTTTGGTCGCTATTGAAAATTTAGTCGATTGCTGAATTTATTTATGGGCCCATTTAGGCCGACATTATACCTATTTCCCCTATCTATAATGCTAGCTGATAACAAACATCTAATGGCTGTATGTTCGTTTTCTATTTCCAGATCTTTCAGTCAAAGCAGCATTCGGACTGAACTAAGCTGCAAACAGTAGTTTTCCAACAAATGCCACTAAGCTTCTTACGCTAGAAATCATCCGAACGAGCCGATCTAGCGTCGACCGCCTCCGCTTCATCAACCAATTGAAAAGAGCAATATCTAATTGCTATACAGCGACACATTGATTGCACTTCCCATGCTGCAGCCTCTCTGCCATATAGCCATAAATAGATACAGAGCAAAACCCAAGCACTGTTCCTCGTATTGAAGATTCACAAACTTTCACCGGCATATAGCTCCTTCTACAAGGTACTTCCTTTCAAGTCATGGAAACGAGAAGGCGGCAAAGTAGAATAATGTTGCAACTTCGGTTTACCCATCTGACATATGGATTCCTCCTGATCACAGCTGCCTCTATCAGCTTGTCACGATGCGAAGAAAGCTCCACAGAAATTGTTAGGATAAATACCACTACCATAGCTGCCACAGCCACCACCAACACCACGGGTGCCAATAGAACTGTAAGCTCAGAAACGATGAAGGACACCGACCTGCTGGAGGAATTTGAAACCGTTCTCGCTAACTACGTTAATGATGCCCTGGATCGAAATTACAATGACATATTAGCTGGAATTTCCCCCAGCTACGCGGGTAACGTATCAGCTGCGGCCCGGAAGGCGGACGACAGCATTCTAAACCAGCCAGGGCTGTCCGCGTTTGATCGGAAAATTGTTCGGGGACTAGCTCGATTCATCGACCAACGAATTTTCAGCAAGGAGAAAATGAGTCGAGCCATCGAAAGTGGGAGACTGTTCTTCTTCAAAGGTAGGTTTGGAGTTGGAAACCTGTGGGAGGGGAGATTTACAACTTTTTCGGATGGTAAGGTGAGTCCTCAGGTAATGCTATGGAATGCGTTAGTTCTGTTTGCTTTGATGTTGGTATTCCAGAGCCTGCTTGCTATTTGAATGTTTGTGGGAAATAGCTTTGCAAAGCTTTTGAAATATCCGATTTTATTACTGAAATTCTTGTTGTACACACGAGTTATAGAATCCATAGAAACGATAAATGAATTCCGATTAGTACTTTCGAAACCAAGCTTCAAAATGAAACGCAGCAAGTGCCAATATGAATGTGTGTGGGTGAGAAATATTGCGCATTTTCCACCACTCCTGCGCTAAAATTAATCCCTCGAATTTTTTTCAATCGACATTTAAAAAAATGGTGAAACTGCTTTTGAAAACAGTGGATTTAACTGTCGATTACTCGCAAATAAAAGCTCGCACATGCAATACTATCAAGTAGAGAAATGTTTTCTCTACCAGCTGGTATGGTTTGTTTGCAGGAGTGAGCTTTTATTTACGAAAAATCGGTGGTTATTTACTTCCAAAGAAATTTCGCCTCAATGAAGCGTTGGCATTCAATTGACCATTTTGAATGTAATAAAGTGCTGAATTTTTTTATTGGCATACTAGCGGTGATAGAACATTAAAAATATTTTTGTTTTGTTTTTTTTTGGCCTGCGTGAAAAATAATCTTAGGGTTTATTTTCAGCGCCGCAGTCTGCTATGGTACAAAATTCGCAGTACTTGAAGTAGGCCCTCAGAATTATTTTCACTAAGGCAAAAAAAAAGAAAAATATTAATTTTAAAAATTATATCACCACTAGAATGTTAATATGATAACCTTTTGTAAAATGTTGCACTATATTACAACGAGAATGGTAAATGTTTATGTTTACTGATTATTTTCAGCGCAAGAGTCTACTTTGGTGCAAAATGCGCAAAATGAATTTAAATCATCGTGTAATGTTGAGATCTGGGACTGGCGAAAACAAAGCGCAGCCGCCATCAGAATGCTGCACTGGATTTCAAATTATTTCAAATTGATAAACAATACACACAGGAACCTCCATTTACGAATCAAACCGGTGCACTGTGGGAGCATTCTGATAAACGACGGTCAAAACTCTATTCTCACTATTCTCGATATTTAAGCGCTTAGGTGTCTTCGAATAGGGTTTTTTTTTAAATGTTATTTGGCCCCTTTTGAAATAAACAAGTACATTTTTATTAAGGCAGGATTACATTTAGAAAATCCAACTTATTTACATTATTTATGTCTTTGATAAAGCAGTAGAACTTTAAATTTAATAAAACTTTGCGGAAGACACCAAGATTTTCAATATCACAAAAATTCATAAGGCAGAAATATTGTTAATCGCTTCATTTGCTTTGTGAAGCAAAATATCGATTTGTTTATTTTTGCGACTTACTTCCTTTTAAAAAGTTATGTTTGATTTCATTGATTAATATCACCTGAAGGTTTCTGCTTTTTCAACGCTTGTTAGAAATAGTTATCGTAAAGCGGGGTGTTTTTGGTCAGGTCGTGCAGCGCTGAGCTGCTCAGGCATCAAAATTATCCCTATTCATTATCCATTATCCAATCTATCATTGGATAATATACCTATCCCTATCCTGATAATATTCGAGTTAAAATTATCCTGATAGAAAAGTTGTAAAATTATCCGGATAGAAAAAAAAGTACATAGGGTAAATATCCATTATTTTCTATCCGGAGTACTCCGAACAGCTTATGTTTAGAAAAGGGAAGTTTGATATCAAATATGTACCCATAAATATGATGGGTATTTTCGGAATCGGGGTGATGTCTAGAGTCCGGAAATTGATATCCGACGGCATTTTGAAATCAAAAATGGCGGCCATTTTGCTAAAAAAAAGTGGCCAGTACGCTACACTATGGGTATTTTCAGAACGCGGACGACGTGTGGATGCCGAAAATTTGTGTCCGACGCCATTTAGGACTCCAATATGGCGACCATTGGTTTCTGAAAAAGTGGTAAACACCCTTTAATATGGGTAGTTTTGGAACGGAGATGACGAGTAGATGCCGAAAACTGATGCCCGACACCATTTTGGAATCGGATATGGTTAAAAAAAAGTGGCATACCCTACAATATAGGTATTTTCAAAACAGGGACGATCGGTAGATTCCGAAAATCCTTATCCGACATTATTTTGGAATCCAAAATGGCGGCCATCGGTTTAAGAAAAAGTGGCAAACACCCTACAATATGGGTATTTCCGGAACAGAAACGACGTGTAGATGCCGAAAATCAATGCCTAACGCCATGTTTGAATCCAATATGGCAGCCATTGGCCAAACACCCTACAATATGGATATTTTTGGATTATAGACGACGTGTAGTGGCTGATATGGGTATTATCGGAACGGGGACAACACATGAAGGCCGAAAATCGATATTCGGCGCCATTTTGGAATGCAAGAGGGTGGCCACCTGTTTAAAAAAAGAGTGTAAAATTTTATACGATATGATCGCCATCCTGGATTCAAAATACGCGTGTGGCATCAATTTTCGGCATCTACCCGTCGTTCTTGTTCAAAAAATTCCCATATTTTAGGGTATTTACCACTTTTTCTGAACCCAATGGCCGCCACATTGAATTCCAAAACGACGTCGTGACATCGATTTTCTGCATGTTCCGGTCGTTTCCGTTGCGAACATACCCATATTGATTGGTATTTTCCTGAAGTAATGAAATTGGGTTGTTAGCGGAATGCTTAAATAAAACAGCAAAAAAGGTTATCTTCCATTTAATTCCACTTAATTAATTATGGTATCCATGACAGATACGTATTTCGACTACAATGTGCAGTCTTCATCAGTGTCATTCCCACTAAAAGAAGACTGCACATTGTAGTCGAAATGCGTATCTGTCATGGATACCAAAATTAATTAAGTGGAAATAAATGGAAGATAACCTTTTTTGCTGTTTTATTTAAGCATTCCGCTAACAACCCAATTTCATTACTTCATTATGATGGCTACCAAGCCTTTGGGGATTTTCATTATTAGAAAGTTGTATAGATTTTTGATGGTATTTGCCGCTTTTATGAACTCAATAGCCACCATATTGAACTCAATAGCCACCATAGAGGCGCTTCACTTTTATGTTACTTATAACGGGTGCTATGGATCTTAGGTCTAACATAGAATATTCTGTGATCCTGGCCATATAGAAAGTTACTATCTTCAGCAAAGTTGTTCAAATGACCAAGTTCTTTCGGATGGTTGCCATATTAGTTCAGAACTCTCTCACTACGCAGCGCTAGTGTGCATGTGCAATTCCTATATAAACTGTATCTCGAGAGCCTGGCCATATAGAAAGTTGCTGTTTTCAGCAAAGTTGTGCAGGTGATCAATTCCTTTTGGATGGTGGCCATATTAGTTCAGAACTCTCTCACTACGCAGCGCTAGTGTGCATGTGCAATTCTTATATAAACTGTATCTCGAGAGCCTGGCCATATAGAAAGTTGCTGTTTTCAGCAAAGTTGTGCAGGTGATCAATTCCTTTCGGATGATATTCATATTAGTTCAGAACACGCTCACTACGCGGCGCTAGTGTGCAAGTGAATTTCCTGTATAAGCTGTATCTCGAGAACCTGGCCATATAGAAGGTTACTGTCTTCAGCAAAGTTGTGCAGGTGAGCAAGTCCTTTCGGATGATGGTCATATTAGTTCAGAACACGCTCACTACGCGGCGCTAGTGAGCAAGTAAATTTCCTGTATAAGCTGTATCTCGAGAACCTGGCCATATAGAAAGTTGCTGTTTTCAGCAGAGTTGTGCAGGTGAGCAAGTCCTTTCGGATGATGTTCATATTAGTTCAGAACACGCTCACTACGCGGTGCTAGTGTGCAAGTAAATTTCCTGTATAAGCTGTATCTCGAGAACCTGGTTATATATAAGGTTACTGTCTTCAGCAAAGTTGTTCAGATGACTAAGTCCTTTCGGATGATTGTCATATTATTTCAGAACTCTCACACTACGCGGCGCTAGTGTACACATGAACTTCCTTAATATGTTATTTCTCCAAAGCTTGTCCATATAAGATGTTTCTGGGCAATGTGAGATCAGGAACCGGAAAAAGGATGACGTGTAGAGGCCGGAAATCGATGTCAGATGCCATTTTGGAATCCAAGATGGCGGCCATCGGTTCAAGAAAAACTGTCAAATACCCTACAATATGGATATTTTTGGAAAGGGGATGACGTGTAGAGGCCGGAAATCGATGCCAGACGCCATTTTGTAATCTAAGATGGCGACCATAGGTTCAAGAAAAACTGTCAAATACCCTACAATATGGATATTTTTGGAAGGTGACGACGTGTAGAGGCTGGAAATAGATGCCAGACGACATTTTGGGATCCAAGATGGTGGCCATCGGGTCAAGAAAAACTGTCAAATACTCTACAATATGAGTATTTCCGGAGAGGGAACGACGTGTAGCGGCCAGAAATCGATGCCAGACGCCATTTTGGAATCCAAGATGGCGACCATCGGGTCAAGAAAACCTGTCAAATACCCTACCATATGGGTATTTCCGGATAAGGAAAGACGTGTAGAGACCGAAAATCGATGTCAGACGCCATTTTGGAATCCAATATGGTTGCCATCGTTTCAAGAAAAAACTGTCAAATACCCAACAACATGGGTATTTTCGGATAGGAGATGACGTGTAGAGACCGGAAATCGATGTCATAAGCCATTTTGTAATCCAACATGGCGACCATAGGTTCAAGAAAAACTGTCAAATACCCTACAATATGGATATTTTTGGAAGGAGACGACGTGTAGAGGCCGGAAATAGATGCCAGATGACATTTTGGGATCCAAGATGGTGGCCATCGGGTCAAGAAAAACTGTCAAATACTCTACAATATGAGTATTTCCGGAGAGGGAACGACGTGTAGCGGCCAGAAATCGATGCTAGACGCCATTTTGGAA